TTATATAAAAATGAACTATTTTAAGAAATAGTTAAATAGTAAAAAAATAGATCTATAAATATTATAAGATAATAAAACAACAAATAGTAATAAACAATAATATATATTTAGATAGTAATATGTTTAAGACTTTGTAAAATATTAAACTGAATTAAAATAATATTAAAATAATTCTAATTTTTTTTTTGCCAGTTCTAATAAAATAGTCAAAGTTGATTAACTTAAAATAGTTGTTATAAAACTTTTTTCTAATTTTTATATTTTTCTTAATATTGGTTTGGAATTATTTTTTTTTTTACAAAAATTTTAAAAAAAATTATAATCTTAATATTTGATTTAAGAAGATATAAGAAAATTTTTTTGATAAACCAATAGATCGATTTTTTGTTTTTTAAAAAATTTTAACTACTAATTTAATCAGCTCAAAATATATTGAAAATTTTTATAATGTCTTCTAATTAGTTTGAGAAATGATATTTACCAATTTCATATTAAAATTATATATTGGCATGAGTTTTGCAAATTATGCATTGTAATACTTAATTATTTACCTATATCTTAATTATTATTTGTCTATTCTGTTTTATTGTATTTATTTTTTTTTCTATCAATTCATATTAATTATATTTATCATATACAAAAATATTATATTATGAATATATTTACAAAGCTTTATTTTTCTTAGAAATTTGCAAAGTTAAACTTTTAGTATATTAAATAAATATCTTGACCTTTTTAAAAACCAGGCTAACAATATCTACAATTTTTTAAAATATGTATTAAATTGTTTTTATATAATATATTATATTACATGCTTATTTCTAAGTATATAAAATTTAATGGTTAATTGGATAGTTAATAAACTGATTATAAATTTAATAATGTAATAATTTTATATAAAATTATTTGTCTTTGAAAAATAAATCAAAATTCTTTATAATAATATAAAAATAATTCTTTGATATGTTTTTTTAATAAAACAAAAAATAATATAATCCGTGTTTGTTCCATTGGTAATTATTACATTCTTTTTATTATATTATTTATCACATTCCACAATAATTAATATAATAAAAAGAATGGGACAATTACCAATGGAGAATAATTTTGTCAATCTTGTTAATAATGTATAAAGTTCAAATGTATATAGAGATTACAAAGCTATTCTAAGAAGATAGTTTGTATAAATGTTTAACAAAATTATTATAGACTATCTAATAAAATGTGTTTTTGTTAAAGTTTTATGAAACAAAGAATTTTCTTTGAAATCTGTTACGATATGATTTCGATGAAAATTTTTTAAAAAAATAGGTTTACCTGAGTAAGGTAATTAGTTTCTATATTAAACTGAAAGTATAATTCATGAAGTTGAAATCTAGAATCCAAATAACAAGATATTACTCATAAAAAACTTATTTATCTAAAGATCATGAGTTAAGGATACAACAATTGCATCCTTTCAAATTATTTAAATTAATAACATTTGATAACTACAATATATACAAGTTTTTTTAATATGTATATGATTGGAATTAAAATTTTAAATATAATCAAGTAATAAACTTTATAAAAACTATGCTTTTAACAACTATAAGGGATTGATAATTTTATATAAACCAGTTAATAAAATATTGATAAAGCTCAAAAGTTGACGTGATTCTTGATAGGATTTTCGAAAGTACTAATTATTTTCTGCATAGTTTGTCATCTGTATTATATATAGTTGATATATCAGTGTCACTCTTAGATTTTAATTTTTCTATATTATTATCGTGAACTAAGGACTTTGTTTTATTAGTAAAAAACAACATGAATTCACATTCATTTCATTATTATATATAGTAAATGAAAAACCTGATTATTTACCAAATTAAACGAATAATCAGTATTATTACTTAATCCGGATGTACTGTAATATACAAATTTATTATTTACGGATAATATCTTTAGTACATTGAATGGATAACGCTTTCGTATAAATAAAACCGAATGACTTTATGTCCTTTTTGCTAGTTGTGTGTTATAATGTAATAATTATTTTATTAATGATATGTTTTGTAACCAAGAAAATACTTTTAACCAACGGAATCGTGTTTTAAACAGGATTGTTCTATAACCAAATCAAAATTTCCACCGTATTGACTCGATGTATTGAATATTGATTGATCAAGGGTTACATTACAAAAATTCCTTTATTCTTTGTTGTACCGAGTATATTGGTTGTATGGAGTTATATATAGAAAAAATTATTTTTGACGTATTCTTTTTATGTCCATTTTGGAATATTTAAGCCACATAGCATCGTTGAAAACTCAAAGTACCTTTTGACGCTCCTCTCTTGGTAAATTCTATAATCATGGGGTTCTTCATCATTCAACTGGAACAAATGTTTTTTTTGTCTTCGTATCCGTTTCGATTATTATCCAGTATTACGATGTCATTATTGTTTTAGGTGTTTAAAGTGTTGCAGAATGCTAACCAAAAAAATTATTTACGTAATTCTTAACAAGTTGGAATGTGAATCTGATAAATCCATAAAGTTTCCGCCTTCATTCTTTTCGGCTATTCGCTTTAATTTCTGGATTTAAAAATTTTGATATAGTATCTGATATAAGCCACTTGGTAATCTAAAAAACGCTAGCGTATATTTTAGAGCATAATCACCGATGATTTTGTCGTTGCTCCAAACTGAATTTCATGTGAAATTTAAATTTTAAGGTACTTTTATTAACAAGTCCCATTAGTGCGCTCTTCAGAGGTAAGATCTTTTATAATCACTTTTATCGTACCATCCTTTTCAAGCTATTCGTATTCTCCATGGAGTAAAATATTAACTCAGCGGGATCATGCAGTCCAATAATTTTTTGTCATTGAAAATGTACAACGATGCCTAATGCATATAACATTGCGTTTTGGTTCTTGTTGTAATATTGTATACAGTATAATAGTTATCACAACACTTTCTATATTTCTGAAATTGTCTCTGTAACTGACTAATTCGAGATAATTCTCACATTGTGCACGGTCGAGAGAGTTGAGATAAGTGTTCTTTTTATGATGATAAGACAATGACCCCTGATACGGTTGAGATTTTGATGTGTCACATATTTCTTAGCACTGTGATTATTTATTACAGAAGCCTTATGCTTCTGCACGAAAAGCATCTAAAAATTTAAATTTTTTACGTTAGCAAATATCGTATCGTTTGTATTGGTTCAAATAAATTGATTTTTTTATTTAATGTATTTAAAATTTAAATCGTCTTGACAAACATGTTTATCGATTCTAATTATGCAAAAATTTTGATTTAATTTATTCATTATATTATTTTTATATCCGTTATCAAACGCGAAAAATTCTATTACAAATGCGGTAAAGATTTGCCGCCACAACAATTTAAATGATAAATAAAAGAATTGCACGCTGTAATTGGTTGATGCATTGCGCAAGATTTTCAATCAAGATTTATACTGTAAATGGATACTGTACTTAAAACTGAAATAATATTTCTATCCAGTTCACGAGCTCATTGTTGGTAGAGAAACGAAGAATACTAATTTAAATCTTCCAGAAATAGGGATCACTGGGAAAAGATTGTTTGCAGTTGAGTAGTTACTTGTGTTAATACACTCTGGAATGCTTTTTAAAGTATTGGCTGACGGTATAAAACTTAACATAATAACTCCTTCATAACCTTTTTTTTTCAAACCTTATTATACAATAATATATTCACTAACTATTCAATATGCAATTAAAAAAAGGACATGCATGCTTTATAATCAAATTCAATGCAAGATCCCATGATTATCACCTGCAAAGTAATTAAAGCATATGAATTATAATATACAACGAAGAACATAAAAAGGAACAGTGAAATGCTTAGTGCACTTTTACAGTACGATATATGGCATAGTTTTTAAGCTACAAACTACTGTATACCGACTGATTGTCATTGAAAATTTAACTGAATTAAGCAACAAGTGTGAAAAGAATTATTATTTAATATAAGCGATGAACAAACGACCAAGGAAAAATTAATGAGCGAATCGAGAAAAGCCAATAATTCAAACTAAAGAAAAAAATTTATCAATAAGAAAATACTATATTTGTATATGAATAATCCATAGAATGACCTTAATATAGTAATGAATAGTCAATATAATTTTCTGGTTCTTTTATAGTAACGCCCAATACCTATAGTGAAAGTACGATCTTCTACGAAATTTTATTAGCTAAAAAATTTTTCTTCTCCTTAAATACCAATTAGAAATATTTTCAAAAAATTACCAAACCCTTTATTCTTACCTTGTTATTTCGAAAAACTTCGTATAAGATTGTGTAATGAAATAGAAAGTACATTCTACCGTACCCTTCCGGATTCTGAGAATATTTTTAGTCCCAAAGTAAATGTACGTTGAATTTCATTGCACAAACAAACAAATAAGTTGGGCACGAAGAATAAATTTTCAATATGAGAAACAAAACGAACAACAAAGTTTTTATAGCGTAAAAGATATGTTTCCATAAAAATTACATAAGGATTGTTCGATAAATAAAGCTGAACTTTGAACAGATAAGTTAATTAATGGAAAAACCTTTTTATTAAAATCGAAAATATATCTTGAAGCATATAAACCGATCTTTAATCTATATTCTAAATATTGAATAAAGATCTCGATTTATGAGAAAAAAAATATTTTTTTTTCTTTCAACAGTATTGTGTTGCATTTTATTTATGGATAATTATTAAGAAATTCTAAATTATACAGTATTTGCCAAGTAATTGGTTTGGGTGTTCTGACAAAGAACACTATCACGTGAACGTAAATCTAATACCGTTTCTGTTAACATATAATTACTTGAAAAAGTTAGTTCAATAATTTCAAGAAAGTATTTAAAGACTTCTATCCAAACGACCTCACAATTACGAGCTATTGTCATGGACTCTATCACTCGCATTGCGTTAAACATTCTAAGTTTAACTCCCGAATATTTCCCGAATGACAACAACATTTCTCAACAACCCGAAGTGTGTCTCAAGTGTTCTGAGGAAATATCGCCAAGCCTACCTAAGCCTCTTGTGCTATTGACGTGTAGACATGTCTTGCACTTTGAGTGTATTGATAATGAACGCAGGTTGTGCCCTCAATGCCCGTCGATTGATGATCAAGGATACTATGTAACTCCCTCTATTCCAGCACGTGAATCCAATCAGAAAAAAAGAAAAAAGAATTATGAAAGTGACAGCAAAAGTAGATCTAATAGGGGCACTAAGCCACAAGAAATTATCCAAGAGCTATCGGTTGATAATCAGATTCCAGATTCGAGAGAATTATTGCCTATTAGTGTGCCATCCGAAAATACTAACACGGAAAAAAAGACAGATCAGCTCAATCACCTGTATTATGAGATCGACGTGGCCGAAAAGAAAGGCGATCAAGCAAATTGGGAAGCAATTCAGAGTTATTTTCGATTCGGAGAAGCTCTATCAATACGTCTTACTTCATTATTAAAAAATAATCCTCCACAATTGGCTCATACAAAACTTAACAGTGAAGTCAGGGAACACCTTCCAGAAAACACTACTCATGCTATAGTGCGAAAAAGAACGGATACGGCACGGAAGATTTATGATATTTTTAGTGTTATTGGAGATGACAAGATTTGTCGAATTAAATCATATACCGCTTCTAGTTTTTCTGATTTAACTAGAAGTGAAGTTAAATATATTATCGAAAACTTCCCTACTCACAAATAGTTTAGGAAAGAATGCAAAAAATTCATAGATCTTAAGTTAAATGTTATCATGAGTATACATACAAGCTCATTTAACTTTATGTATTTAAGCATGATTGAAAATGTTGACGGTCTATATACAAATGTTCTTTGTATAAGATTTTAAGGTTACTACAACATGACCAATGAAAAGATAATCCACAATAAATTTACACAGTATATTATGATAAACAGTAAAAAAAGTTATCGATTCTTGAATATTTAATTTTATCCAAAGATTATGGGATTCAAAATGATACAAGTCAATACTTTATAATTGATTTCGCTGTATTCTATGCACTTTCAGCTGATAATACTTAATATCTAATAAAGTATCATTACTGATAATATTGAATTATTTCAATAATGAAAATATATTTGTGAAAACTAGTGAATTAAATTGGTACTTACTGTACTGCAGTAATTTAAAAGAATACAAACGTAAGTATACCAACATACAGTACGTATATGGCATATTAAAATATATTATTGGGAAAAAACAAATAAATTTTCAGAATATCGTCGTGGGTTATCCGGAATGCCTCTCGCCACGTTCGGTTTACAATAATGTAGGTTTCCCTAACTCTTGAAGCGTGTTTCTGATTTGGCCGTTTTCTCACTTTAACTTCTCTACCGACTAACTTAGAACCCTTTCAATGAAATTCCCTTGGCAATCCCTGGTTCTCTCTCGTAGTTGCTAGCCCAAGTTACAAGTCTATGTTACTTTGTTATTTAATACTTAATGTGCTCTGAACCAAACTTCTACTACTCTACAGGCTACTGAATTGCGCATATATTTATACATGCGCTAGTGATGAATAAATGGTTCGGTTCTAATTGGCTAACTTATTTAAGTCGTAACAATAAATGGCTTGGTTCCAACTCTTCAAAGCTATTAAGCCGAAATAGAGCTGATTGAAATTATGACTAATTAAATATTTTTTGAAAATTTTTTTGATTATCATTATTATAGTAATGGTTATTTTAAATTAATTAAAATAATATGTATATAAATCGATGCATAATACAGTATTCCACAGTATTCATAATCTGTGTTACATACAAAGAAGTGTAAAGAGGAAAAAGAAATCGCAATCGGTGATCTATATGTATTGAGATCTATGATGATGCAAATCGCTCAGATAATGTCGATTTTTCAATTCTCCGGATTTCTCGAATAATAGGGATTCTGCAGATAATTAAATAGTGTAGATTTTAGAGAAATTAGCGATAGTCAAGATATTCCTGTAAATATTTTCATTATTCTTATTATTGGTTATATTAATTTTTATAAACTTGTGTGACATAAAAATATATAAAAAGAATATATATCTCGGCATTCTAATAAAATTCAGTGATAGTTAAACATAACTAGCGAACACAACATGAATTGTGTATTCGAGTTGTGTTAGCTCACTTGACTGTGTTTAATTTTGGTTATTTTGTTTGTGATGACATTTGCAAAGTCAGATTAAACATGTGATTAAAAGTTTGTTTGATAACTTTATTTTTCTGAAAATTGGTGACGTCTCAAATAAAGCTTTGAAAATTGCCTCTTTCTAACTATCTGAGACGTGTATATTCAGCCTAAAATATCAAGGCCAAGACCTTGGGAATATAAAGAATTGGTACTGGTCCCCGGCTTCACGACCAAAGAGTAAGTAAAAAAAGGTTTAGAGTGAGTAAGAATGGAGCATGATAATGGATAAAATGGGATTGCTTGGGCAACGTCCTCTCAACTTCCTAAAAAGCGAATTGACAAATATATGAATGAAAGTAGATATCATATTAAGGCATACAGTATATGTGACTGAATACTTAGAAATGTGCTTATCAACTGATACAGACCTGCTCGATGATCTGCTTTCTGATATTCAAGACTTACAGTCCATCATGCATAATCCCAGTCACCGATATTCTTAATCTAATAGAAATTATATTAAATTAAATATTTGTTTGACTTTTAATTTATAGTTAACATTTAATATTAAAATGTTTATTTAATACGTAGGCTAAAACTTAATTAAATAACATAATTTATTATATTGTAACAGGGAGAAATGGGACGCGACTGTAGTCACGTGATCAATAGTCGTGACAATGGTAAGTCGGCTGTAATAATTAGGTAATAACGAGTGACGAGAGAAATTATGTAAGATAGCCTAAGCCCCGTCATTGTACTATAGCTTATTATTCTGTACCCAAGCCGCCATAGCCAATTGTAAAGAAAGAGAAGTATAAAAAGAATGTAAATTGTAAAGAGACGAAAGATAGTGAAAATGTGAACATAGAAGTGAGAAAATTAATAGACTCGGTCAAATATATATAGTATATAACTTATATTTAATAAAAACAATACATAAAACATTTCTTGTCTATTGTAACTACTAAAATATATTTAATAATTATTAAAAAAAACAAAAAAACCAAATCTCTGATTAAATAAAAAGGAAAAAAAAAACTTGTCAATAAAAACATATATAGAATTTTTTAACAAATAAAAAAAACTCTAGCCAAGATATTTTTCTATTTCTTAAGTTTAGATTTTTTGATTTCAATTTTTATTAAGGTTATAAAAAGAGCTTTTTTAAAAAAAAGTTGAGTTGATAATTATTTGTTCAATAATTTTTAAAAAAATTTTAAGTATATAACATAATAAAATTTGTTAAAACCTTAAAAATATTTATATAAATTTATAAAAAAAAATAGCTATATAAACAATATATTTCTTTTTTTAAATTAAATACACAAATAATAATCTTGTAACTGCTTATACTATTTGATTAAAGATTTTTTGCAAAATACTTCTAAAGATATAAATTCCGTATCAGTTTTTTATAACTTTTTACAAACTATAAAATTATAATTTTTGAATATACTGTATATTAGAAATTATAAAAGGTATTATAAATATTAACTTTTGTATATACTTATTGTTTAAAAAAATTGATAGAAAATATTTTTTATAAAAGATAATATATATATTTAAACTTATATTTCATAAAATGCTATTTTAAGGTTATATTTATACATATATTATTTTTGAAAAAATAGAAGTTAACCAAAACTACAGAATCTGTCATATTATTCTATATCTAATTTATTAACTATTATATATTGGTTATATTTTTTAATATAAAATTAATTTATAAAACTTATAGTTTAGTAGAAAGAATTATTATTATTATTTTTTTCAGATAAAAGATGCTTTGTGCATATGCATTTTATTGAGTAGTTTATATCCAATTACAGATACACTAAGGTTCATTTAAGTTAACCTTGCTTCTACACCTATAGACTTATCCAGTATACCAATTGAACACCTTGAAGGTGAATCTGTACCCTGAGTGAGATCTTTAGGGGATAGAAAATCTTACCACTAGTTTATAAACTATCTAACCTAATCTAGATCCTGTCTCAACTGTATCTGTCATGGAAGAGGCACAATTATTACCTTTCAGGAATATGGTTGTAAAACATCCAGATATCCCCGTATATATTTTTTACCCAGAATCTCGAAGAAGGTAAATCACTCTTTGTCACCAGCTGCGGCTTATGATTATATCAAGTACCTTTTTTTGAGATATAACCTTTTTTTAAGCAAGCGCCGGATTAGGATAGCCCCAGGCTAGGATGTTCTTTGTGTGACGGAGTCTGCTGTCGCCAGTTTTGGTTAGAGTTGTAGGCTTATACCAGAGTTAGACCAGAAGCCTTTTCTCATGCAACCTTCCTTGCTTCAACCTGTTTTCAACCCGCGATTGTCAGGAAGACCAGAGGTCCCATTTTCATGCAACCTAACTAATTTTGGAAGATGATTTGCGGCTGATTGGGTACAACATGAATTGAAAGCCGATCAACCAATCATAAAGGTGATAAATTTTTGTAACCAGGTGGGGTTGAACCCTAGACCTTAGTAGAAAGAATTATTACATTTGATTTTTACTTAATATTTTTATTATTTTTTGTTTGAATTTTATTAGTATTTATTTTTAAAATATTGTTTATTCTAAAATAATTTTTGTATTACTGTTTAATTATTATTTGGCATTTTGTTTTGTGTTATTGCTATTTTAAAATATCTTCTATTTTATTAATTTTTTTTATTCACTTATTTTTGTTAAAGTATTTGTTTTTATATTAATATATACAAATAACTGTTTTGATAAATATTATATTTCTTTTATATTTCTATTAGTTTATATAATATAACTTGTATTTATTCTATATAAAAATATTATATTTGAAACCTATACATATATAAAGTATTTGATTTTATTTAAAAATTGATAGAATTAAGCTTTTATTTTATTAAATAAATATTTTAATCTTTATAAAACAAATCACTATTGCTTTTTTTGCTTGATCTTATAAATTTTAAAACTGTATTAATTTTATATATTCTTAGGAATTTTGATATATTACTGTATAGTGCTTACTATAGTATTCTTGATATTTTTCAAAAAATTCTAGATTAACTTAAATAATATCCAGAGAATATTATGTAAAGAGAAGATACTATTTATTAATAATATTAAATATAGATTATAAAGTAATACAAAAATTCATATAATATAAAATATTAGATATTATAATTTTTTTTTAATAATATCTCCATATGTTAAAATATTTAAGAATAACAAAAAAATTATGCCATTAATAAAATATGTGTAAAAAACTTGCAACTATTATATATTATTAAAAATGACATAGTAAAAATAAAACTGTGGCTGAATTTAATATCAAACAAAACAACTTCAAAATTGGTTATCTAAAAAAGAGCAACTTTTAAAAGCAAAACATAGTCTAAAATGATTAAATAAAAGCAAATTTCTTAAATATTCAGCTTTGGAAGTTACTTTGGTTAGTGGATTAAAGAACAAAGAAAAAATCAATATATTATTTTATAAAGTATGGTTCAAATAAAAGCAAAAATACTTATATAACAATTACAATGGTAAAACATTTTTTTTTTAAATCACAAACAGGCATTAAATGCAAGACCTTTATTAAACAAAAGTTTATTGTCATTACATTAACAATCTTTAAAATATATAGAAGTTAAGTTAATTATAGCTTATTGCAACTTTACAATTAGTACACAATGGCACCAAGTAGGTGTTTGTATACTAAAGGTATTAAATGGCTAATACCTATTCAAAATAATGATACTATAGCTGGTATGAAGATTTTTTTGTCAGTAAGATTTTCAGAATTTTTTGAAAAATGCTTATATTTGAGTAATTAGTATTGGAATTTGTTACTGAAGTAGTTTATTTCCATATGATTTCTGAGATTGTTGAAATAGTGGTGGTTGCTGATCTCTGTTTTCTAATTTTTGTTCAAGATTTTTAAAAAATAGTTTGGGATTTCTTCTTTTGGATAATGTTAAAGGGTTGTTGAACTTGCCAAGCATTAGATCAAGTAGAGTTTTGCCTATTAGATTTGTTGTTTAAAGAAAATATGCCTCGCTTGAGTTTAATTTCTCTTTAGAGATGTTGAGAGCGATAAGGGTCTTGAGTTTGTCTCTTTTTTTTCAATGTAGAAAGGCAGTAGTGGCATAAGAAAATATGATTTAGAGTTTCCGAGTAGACTTCGTAGTGAGGACACAGGTTATCTTTATAAAGAAGAGAATATCTTTTGTGGAGTTTATCTCAAGTAGAAAGTTGATTTACTAAAATCTTGATTTTGAAAGTTGCGAGTGATCAAAATTTTATTTTGTCAATTTCTCTTAGTTTTTTATTAGATTTGATAATAATGTCTAGTTCGATGAAATTTTTGGGTTTATTTGTGACAGATTCACTTAAAAAAATATTAAAAAGATTGATATAATAATTTATAAATTTAATCCATTGTGTAGTACTGGTTGCAAGGTTAAAATTAATTAATGGAGATGTGCTGTGGGTATTTGGATGTAGAAAGGGAATTGGTGTCAGAATGCCTTAAGGAGTAGTTGAAGAGAATTGTTTTTTGTCAAAAATCCAAGTTAAAGTAATATGTTTACTTTTGAGTTGTGTATTGATAATTTGAATAAGACTACTGTAGAAATGTTTTACTTGGCAATTAGTGCACTCAAACAAGTTAATATTGAGTTTGTGTATGGAGAAACATGTAATTATAGATAATAGAGAAGCTTTTGAGCAAAGTAAAGTAGAAATTAATCAGAAAGAGGGAAGAGGATTAAGATTTAGATTATATGTAAGGAATGCCTAAGAATCGTGCATAGTGATTGTATCTTTGTTTAGAAAATAATTTGTGTAATGATTTTATGTTTGAGATACAGATTGATAGAGAATAGTTATGATTGAAGTGTGAAGAAGTTGGAGGAAGAATCTATTAATAAGTTCTTGCAAGTTATTAAGAATATAGTGAATTCTATTTCTTTTTGTTAACTATATAAATTTGAGTTCGTTGATGTTGAGAGTTTTGGAACATGGTTGTATATTACAAGTGCACTGCTTTATACACTTGTTATTGTTGCTGTATAGTGTGAACCTGTGATTATTTGACATGTAATAACATTATGTTTGACCTTGATAAAATTTAGTGTATTGGGGTTTACTAGGTATGCCCAGAACTGTGGTCTACGATTGGGTACTGGTAATATGTTTCCAACAATTATAGAGCTTGATTGTGAGATATTTGCGAACCAGGAGGGAATCAGGCCAGTTAATATATAACTTTTGTATATATAAAGTTCTT